GCAGTGTCGACTATGCTAGTACAAATGCGGGACCGGAAACTTGAGCTGACAGTCGGCTAATTTTAACTCGGACTGGGGTAGTAGAACGGTTGATCAATTGCTGTGCCCTTCGTTTGTTTGCGGACATAATTAACTTCGCATTTATCGAATGTGACATATGAAATTTTGTTTATTAAGGAGTGAACGTATCCTAGAACCAATGTAGCAATTAGTGTAATGCAACGATGTGTAACTCCTTTGGTCTGAATAATAAAAAGAGGAAGATTTTGATTTTCTCCTCGAAAAATTTCTCTGCTTAAAGATGAGAAATTCGGCATTGTCAAAACGTGATCCACAAGAATTCGGTTATACGTACAGTTGCCCACAAAAGTGTTCGTACACCTTCTAAAACGCAATAACTATTTTAAAACTGAACTAAATGACTCGATTCTTTTTTTAAATGATGGAGGAACTAGTCTACTAGATGATGACTGTAATAATTTTTTTTAAATTTTGCTATTACTTGGAATGACAAAAGAATAAAAATCTCACGTATTTTAACTTTTTTATCTGAGCCTATATAACGAAAATTTTAAAAATGTCTCTCGTGAATCTCGGTAACTTCATATGCATGTTGAAAATTTTGTTGAAATCAGTTGACGTTGTTATGAGTTACAACAAATTAAAGATCGCAAAAATCGCAATTTTATCACAATTGTGATCGAAAACTTTAAGAAAACAGTTTTCAAAATTCTTCAACACCTGTAACTCGACTCTGGGTTGACCGATTCCAATTAAATTTTCAGTAATTAGTGCATATAAGTTACCGAGATCTACGAAAGGCACTTTTTTAAATTTTCGATAAGGAAAAGGCTCAGATAAAGAAGTTAAAAATCGAGGATTTTTAATTTTTTCTTTTCATTCCAAGTAATATCAAAATAAAAAAAGCTTTTAGTCATTGTCTAGTAAACTAGTCCCTCTATCAGTTAAAAAATATTCGAGTCATTTAGTTCAGTTTTGAAAAAGTTATCGCGTTTTAAAAAGTTATTTGTGGGCCACTGTATACAGAGTGTCCCAAAAATGTCTCGCAATCCGAAAATGGCGGGTTCCTCGGATCATTTGGTGCAACTTCTTCCTTTACAAAAATTTCCTCCGAGGCACCGTTAACGAGTTATCAACGAAAAACAGTGACCAATAAGAATCGAGTACGGCTGACGCGAGGCGGCCCGGCCAACCAGCGCGCGGAGCCCAGTTCCGCTCATTGGCTCGGTCGCCCCGCGCCAGCCGAGCTCGCCTCTCATTGGTCACTGTTTTTCGTTAATAACTCGTTAACGGTGCCTCGTAGAAAATTTTTGTAAAGGAAGAACTTGCTTCAAATGACCTGAGGAACCCGCCACTTTCGGATTGCGAGACATTTTTGGAACACCCTGTATATTGAAAGGGGAATTATGCCTTAATAATTATTCAATGAAAATACGAAGACACATCGAATTGCATAAAAAGTTTATATGATTTCGAAAAGAAATTGTTGGCACCTTTATCTTTTATCGAATAAGAACTTCTATGCAGATTTTGATTGACGCAATTTCTTGTTGGCCGAATATCGAGTGACGTTTGTCCGAAATATTTTTCATTAATTTAACTTATATGGGTTTGCGACCGGTTACGGCTACATATTTTATTAAACAACTCGGAAGATCCCAACTTTTCTCAAAAACAAAATCCCCGGATATTTCGAGCCTTTTGTTTTCAAACCTTGTCTAAAGCGTAGGAAAATAAATCGAACTAATTATTTCATTTCGGATTGATTATTGTATCGCATATAAGTATTACAAAATTTCTGTAGATTAATTACAATCGTGTAGCGTCTGGTCAGGTAAATCTGTACCGGGTAAAGTAGCCTTTTGTTCCTAAGACAATGTGACAAGCTGCGTTATGAACTAACGTACTCTGTTTGATCCTCGTAATATTCGCTCGGAGAACTCGCTTGAAATTAATCTGATGCTAAATTTCTTGAACATTCTGTTGCTAAATATGATTATCTAGATATTTTAACGCATCATACACATAGTCTCGAATAGATATGAATGCAGTGACTTTTTTAAATTTTGGCCCTTGACGGCCGCACTGTGTGGCGGTTCGCCGGCTTGCCTCGGCTCGATGGCGAATTGATTGTTTCTTGGAAATTCCCAGTTTAAATTGAATTCTGCCATTTACTTAAGCCGGCCGCGTTGCGTGATCACGGGTATGCGAAAGGGTCGCGCGACATTTCGCCGGCCGATCTCTCCCTCTCTTTCTCTATTTCTCTTTTTCTCTCTTTCTTGCTTTCTTGCTTTCCCTCTTTTCCTCTTTTCCTCTTTCTCCCTTCCTCTCTTTCTCTCTTTTTCCGTCTTTCTCTCGCTTTCTCCCTCTCTTTCTTTCTCTCCCTCTCCCTCTCTTTCCGTCTTTCTCTCGCTTTCTCCCTCTCTTTCTTTCTCTCCCTCTCCCTCTCTTTCCGTCTTTCTCAAGCTTTCTCCCTCTCTTTATTTCTCTCCCTCTCCCTCTCTTTCCGTCTTTCTCAAGCTATCTCCCTCTCTTTCTTTCTTTCTCTCTTTCCGTCTTTCTCTCGCTTTCTCCCACTCTTTCTTTCTCTCTCTCTCTCTCTTTCACTCGCTTTCTCCCTCTCTTTCTGTCTTCCTCTCACTTTCTCCCTCTCTTTCTGTCCTTCTCTCGCTTTCTCCCTCTCTTTCTGTCTTCCTCTCACTTTCTCCCTCTCTTTCTGTCTTTCTCTCGCTTTCTCCCACTCTTTCTTTCTCTCCCACTCTTTCATTCTCTCCCTCTCTTTCTTTCTCTCCCTCTCTTTCTCTCTCTCTCTCTCTCTCTTCCTCTCTTTCCCGTTCTCCCTCTCTTTCTCCCGATTTCTCCCTCTCGTTCCCGTTCTCCCTATCTTTCTCTCTCTCTCTCTCTCTCTCTCTCTCTCTCTGTCTATCCCGCCTTATCGTGTCGCCTCGCCCGGTTAAAGCGCACGAAATCGCGCGCGTCGCCCCAACAAGCGAACGGTTACGGATAAACGGCAATTACTCGCGGGTAAACCCGGTTGAATCGCAATTATCAGTGTTTACCCGGAATAGCCGGCCAGCCCGACTAACTTACGGGGGCACGGCTCGCTCGATAAACAACGGAATTTATTAGGTTGCCGAGCGTGTGCGTCCGTTGCCGTCTTCGACAATGGACCCTGAAGAATGGCCCGCGCGTTAACCATCACCGGCGAACCAAATTCCAGCCACCAAACGACTACGCAAACTTTATCGTTGTTGCTCGGATCGAACCAGGTTTATCTCGTCCACCATAGATTCAACGTTTTCCTTCTGTTTAACATCGCATACAGTAACAGAACACAGTGGGTGTATACACTGTCACGCGAACACATTTCATCACGCATTCGATACAGTATTTCTATTTTACACGACTTATCGCGTTTCATGCGTACGAAATCCTGTCTTGTAACTTGTACAACAATGACAATTTTAACAGTTTATTTTAAATGAAAAGCAGGTTTGACAATGTAAACGTTATTTGGATACACGATATTATATTGGATTGGTAGGAAAGTAATTTCGGTATTTCAATGTTAAATAAAACTGAATTTTTTCTATACAAGAAATGAATTTCAATCAGTCAAATATATTTTCCATTCTGTTCGATGACCTTTCTGGTAACTTCATGATTCCGCGCTCATAAAACTTCTGGTTCTTAGAAGTAAAAAACTCGATCACGCAAAGCTGAAGATAAGAATATTATAACCCTAACAAAAGAATGACAATGCAAATATAAACGCTATCTAAATATTGATGGAAACCGAAATTACTTTCTTGGCAATCCAATAATTTTTAGTGATGGCTCAGGGTTGCTCGAGTGCAAAACGGTTAACTAGCATAATACCAAATTTTTCAGTTGATCGTAATGAAGGAATGTGATCGTTGCACGATTAATGATTATTTTATTAATCATTATGCGGATTTTATGCATTCACAGCAAAAATGGGCAAGTTTAATGCAGAGTAGGCAAGTCATTAAATAAATTGAAGAATATCGTCACGCTGCTTTCGATTTATTAAAACTGCCTGAAGAAAAAATACATTTCTATTTAACGCCTGTTTAGTTCAATTGATGCAGATTATTTTTATTTCGCATGAAGATCCGCGGTCTAATCATGACCAACGATTATATTTTCTTTGATTGCTTAAATTATTCAGTAATCATGATTACTTGATTACTTAAGTTATTCAGTAATCAGAATCACTTGATTATTTGAATTATTCAGTAATCATGATTGCTTGATTGCTTAAATTATTCAATAATCATGATCACTTGATTACTTGAGTTATTCATTAATCATGATTATTTGATTGCTTGAGTTATTCAGTAATCATGATTACTTGATTACTTAAGTTATTCAGTAATCACGATCATTGGACTACTTGAGTTATTTAGTAATCATGATTACTTGATTGCTTAAATTATTCAGTAATCATGATCACTTGATTGCTTAAATTATTCAGTAATCATGATCACTTGACTACTTCAGTTATTCAGAAATTATGATTACTTGATTGTTTAAATTATTCATCAATCATGATTACATGATTGCTTAAATTATTCAGTAATCATGATCACTTGATTACACATAAATTATTCAGTAATAATGGTTACTTGATTGCTTAAGTTATTCATGAACCGTGATCATTTGATTACTTATTAATCGTAATCGTTAATCATGAACATGATTTCATGTTTGCCATAACGGTTAATCGTTAATCAGATTACTTTTCTCCCAACTCCGATTGGAAAGCGGCGCTTCACGTGGTTCGGAAACATTCCCCGGGTTCCCTTTGTTCCCGACAAGCCGAGGTTTTCCGGCGCGTTCTTATCGATAGGTCTCGGTTCGAGGCGCGGGGAATTCGAGTTCGTCCGGCACGTACCTCGAGGCGGCTCACCTCTCGCAGAACGCCGTTAAAACTTGTTTACGATCGCTTGTTTCAGTTTACGAGCTTTTACGGGAACTCGGCGGCTATCTACCCCCGAAGAGCATCGCGCCCGCCGACATCACGCCGCTGGTCTCGAGGCTGTTGAGGGTGAACGGCGCGCCGCTCTTCGACTTCTACGTGGACGTGGATCTTTACGATCGCTCGAGGTCGTCCGTCTTCTTGGACCTGCCTACCAAGCGCCACGAGGACACCTTCTTCGCGGAGAACGTGGTGAGTCTGCTCTTTCCCTTTTCTACCTTTGTCTTATCACTAGCCATCCCCGTAGTGTCTGCCATGAAAAAACCCCGTCGTTAAACCGGTGTCGAATGTCTCACCGTCTCCATCGTATTCTCGCGTAGCTGCGATCATTGTAGTCCTTTGCTAACACTTTGGCTAGCCCGGCTGACACACACCGTTTCTACTCGGGACAGTTTTTATTCGTCGACCCAGCTTTATTCGTTCAAGAGACCGACGAGCGGAAATACTGATCATGGTGTTCTTTTTCACCGGCGATGTTACGCCGTCGACGGTTTTTCAATGTTCTATGAAATTCATTCGAATCGTGCTTAGCACTAGACCTACCTTTCCGGTCGATATGATCGGTCTCGCATGTTTTATTTTCATACTGTTGAAATTATGAAGACTCTTACTTAAGAAATGGCCGGGCCTGGGAAAGAATAGATTTTCGGAATAGTACTATAGTGTACTATATATAGTGCATATATAAGTGTACTATATATACTATATATAAGTACTATATATAAGTGTACTATATATACTATATATAAGTACTATATATAAGTGTACTATATATACTATATATAAGTACTATATATACTATATATAAGTACTATATATAAGTGTACTAAATATACTATATATAAGTACTATATATAAGTGTACTATA